TTCGCAGCACGTGAAGTGAGGCACAGCTTGGAGACACGTTCGTCCACTTTCTTCCAGGTCGCCAGCACCTCCTTCACCCGCTTCAGCTGCGCAGTCAGACGCACAGAGACCACACCGAGTGATGGTTCCCCATCGCCCTTCTTCTTCTCGTACAGTGCAATCAACTCCTCATTATTATTATTTCCACTTCCAGCACTTTTGTACAGCAGGGAGCTGGCGGCAGCGTCATCATCACCGGACACCGACCCAATATCAACAATGTGCGTATTGTCCGTCAGCCAAAGATGAAGTTCACGCTTTTCTTTTCCCTTTCTCCTTGAATGCGCCGGCAGAGTAACGAGCATCACGTCCCTGTTCTCAATCGTCGCTGTGATGAACCCGCTTCCAACGCCCTTCTCATGTCGCTTTTGGTTGTTGCCCCACACGCGCGAGAGTGTTCCGAGGGCCTCCGTCCACGAATCCCCCTTGTCACCGGACTCGTACACCCTGCGGCGGCCGTCATCGCACGCAGTCATCATCATGAGTTTTCCCTCCCTCCACTCCGCAACGGAGGGATCACTGCAGCCATCGTCAGACATCCCCTTCGACAGCGTCCAACTCGCAATGTCTGACGAGTATATGATCAGCGAAACGGTCTTCCCATCCTTCTTCGTCCCTTCCACTGGGAACAAAATCGTACCGTCATTTATATTAACACCTGATCCACCGCCGCCAATCAGTCCTGTCAAGGTGTCCCGTTTGCCAAAAAGACCCCACGGTAGACCGTAAGTATCTCTCCAACAAATTCTTTTGTCCTTTCCTTCCTCACCACTGACGTTCCCTTTCACCAGCAAGAGTCCCCATTGAACCCCATCAGTCGCATTGCCAGCAGCAACTGCAGCGGCAGCACTTTCACTGGTGTATTTTCCCGCAAGCATGTAAATATCTCTTCCATTCACAACTGTTGTTGGTCGGCTCACATGTACTTTCGTGTCACTTTGGGAAACAACATCCTGTTTTTGATACGTGCACTTCCCACCTTTGAAATGACATTCCTCCGGTGCTTGTGTCTTCAGTTTAGTTGTATCCAATTCTTTTGATTCTTTATCGGTCCACTCCAGGAGCTCCGAGGCAATCCCAGCAAAACCGCTGTTACTGGCTTCCGTGCACTGCGCCTCGGCAACAGCAAACACATCACCATTCACCTCAACAAGAACTGGAACACGTAAAGAACTCACTGTTTTTTCTTCATTTTTATCTCTCCAGACAAAATATGGCTTTGGTGAATATCTCAGACCTGTCCTCCGCAAATTCCCCTTATCAGTGGCTGTGGCTTCACCAGTGCCGCAGCACATCATCACGACGAGGAGGAGCAGCACCGCGGAAGCAAACACACGCCAGGACATGTTGGGCCTCTGCGGCTCACTCTCTCCTCCTTCCCTCCTCCTTCCGCTGGATCCGGTCATGCGGCGACGGTTGTGTGTGCGGGGTGCCTTCACTGCAGCAACACGTGAGAGCATATCAATATGTGTGTGTGGGTGGTCTGTGCGTTGTTGGTCCTTTCAAAAACTCTGAATTTCGCAGTAGCGTTTAGTGCCTGTTTGCTTTCTTCGTAAGAAAGTGAAAGAGAAAACGAGGTAATAAATATGGGTGAAAGAATAAGCACCGCCATCCACAGTGAGTGGCACCATCATCCCCGCCGCAGTCACTCCCCACAACAACAACTCACGCACACAGACACACGGAACGAGACGGAAGAACAGCGCACCGGGAACACACAGCGACTGCCACCACCAGCAGCAGGAGTCACGGCGGGTGTTTCGTTATTCACGCGTCAGCACACACCGAGCAACGCCCACACACGATAACAACCAGCGGGAGGCAAAAGAGCACAACCGCCCTCGAATCACCGACACACTGCCGCCGGTCGTTCAATTCTTGTCCCTCCAACGCACCCGCTCCACCGCTGGCGCACATCACCCCGCACAGCCGGAGGTTCTCCAGTCGACGTATCCACTGCCGTAGTGATGCCTCGACAGTTGCAACTGCCAAGCAAGAATCCATCCGCACATGTCCCAGCCACCCAAAATGCCACACCACTCACCGGCCGCACGCTGCCAACATCACGCCCACAACACATCGGAATCATTCAAATCACGGGCTCCCGTCCTCCCTCCTCGCAAGATGCCGCACCATGGCAGCACGTCAGCGCGGCCACCCACGCCAGAAGCTACCGCTCGCAACACCATCTAATGTGCCGTGCGGGCCGCACACAACTCTCCGCATCATTCGAGATCAGCCCCCACCCACGCACATCATCGCCAACGCGTCGCAGTCCGCAACAACAAATACGGCAAAAAGAGTCCCCACGCCATCCACAGCAGGAACATCGGTGCCGCACACACAAAACAAAAGCAAAAAAGCAGCGCAGAGGCGAGCCGACACGCACACCCCCCACACGCACGGCATAGAGCCTCTCCCATCGTATGCGTGGTCCAGCCGAGACAACAACAAGGGATGCAGGGGCACACGCAACCCTTGCCATCCCCGCTCCCAAAAACACAAAGCGAGGAATACACCGCAGCTCGGACACGGCACAATCGAGCATCGCGGGCGGCGGCGATGAGGTCGGTACCCATTCACTCCCCTCTGCTTTTTGTGGGCAAACGGCTCCGCCCATGAGAGATTACAGATGTGTGCATACTCAAAGACTGACCATGATAAGCGGTCACTCTTTATCCACGGCTGGGTCGCCGCGTGTTGGTCGACGGTGAGGCACATCCACCACAACAACACGCCACGGACAGCGAGGCTCTAGCGGCGCAAATGACAGCGATCCCCGCCACAGCGCAGTCGTGCCGACCAAGCAAAGCGATATACCGCCGCTTTGCACACACCTCGGAAGGCCGCAGCTGCATGGCACCAGTGATGCGCACAACTGTCGACAGCTGGACGGCATGCAGTTTCCTTCGCCCGTGCCTCACTCCAACAACAAAGGCAGCACAGAAGGCCGCCATGGTCCCTGTAGCAACAAATTCCTTTCGGGAATAGCCGTGACAACATCCTTTGTGTGGGTGCCGCGGTCGGTCTCAATGCTCCCCGCAACGGGGACGAACGCCCGTGGCAATCCTTGTTCAGTAGATGTCGGTAAAACCGTCCTGCTCCACGCGCCCTCTCCTCGCCGTCCCACGGATCCACTGGAAGTAGGCTACCGCTGGTGGCGGATATCGTGCACACCTGCGCGTGCTCACGGCAAATGACGGTCCCCTCATCGTGGGGCTGAGTGGCCCACGTACTCGTCGCTCCGTCCGTGCATGGGACCAACGGACGTTACCCTCTTCAGCCACTTCTAGACGCACCTGCATGCCGAGGCGCCGCAATGCCGCATGCGTAGCAGCACCAAGATGTCTCTCCTCCGGGTACCTCGCATCCGTCGTGTTGTTGGGAGGCGTGTCCAGACACCACGAAGAGGGCTCATCCCCAGGCATCGCAGACAAACATTCTCCTCTCCAAATAACAGCGTCAACATCCCCCACATCCAGTGCGGGATCAGTGATGGGGCAACGGTCCATCGGACGTTTGGCTGAGCTTCATGGATTCTCCCCAAATACCAACCGCGGAAATACCGGTCCGACGCGCAGCGTTTGACAGGGACACCCACGTCGCAGAGCATGTAGCAATATTCACTCACGCTCGGTGCGGAGCGCTTCCTCTGCAGCAGCAGCGGCCTACAGCCCGACTTCCTGCACCAATGCGTCGGCTCCGCCATCCCCCAGTTCACCCTCATGCAGCCAAGGTCAGCCGATGCGGCCAGCGTCAGCTCCGTGCCGCGGCCGGCGCCCCCAATCGGTGCCATCCGCTCATCCCTCGCGTGGCGCTGTGATAAGTGCGACTCCAGCGTCCTCCCGTCCCCATCGTCATCCTGCAGCTCCACGCCACCAATGTCGTCGCAGTCGTGGTGCTCCCTCGCCGACATCGCGGCATTCGTCGAGTCCATCACCACCGACAGCGCCCTGCCACGCACACCGGCATTCCTCACCATGCTGCGGCTTGCCATGTGCGGGTGGGTGAACTGACAGCATGGACCACCAGGTGCGCGGCGGGGCGGGCGGCGAAAAGTCCGCAAAATAAAAACGCCGGGCAAAGTACATGGCGCACGGCAGTGCCCACACACCGCCAGGCGCAGCAGCAACGTAGAGCACTGTGTCAGAATCGGCAACACCAGTGGAACAATGCCCAGCAGGCGCCGTGAAGCGACTGCAAACGCTGCCCGTGGCAAGTGGGGCACAATCAACGGACCCTCCAGTGGCCGGACAAGCAGACAATTCGCATGCAGTTACACAGCAGCAGGGACAGCCTCCTCGGCAAGAATGTTGCCGTGCGCAAAGAATAGAACACTATCCTTACAGTCAAACGCGCCGTTCAAAGAATTTACTGTGCAACGCCAAAAGAAGCCGCAGTGCCTCCTGCGGTCATCCAAGTCCCTTGTTGACACATTGATGCGGACTGCCACTCGTCGGTCCTTCCCAAAGCCGCTGCCCACCCGCGACGCATCCTGCGCTCTGAGAGGCATGTCCCTCACCATCAGGAGAATCAACCACGCGCCGTCGGACGTATCGCGGCGTCCAAAGAAAAAGGATACATCAAGGTGAAACAAAAGCATCAACTGGCAAATCACACCACAAACATCATCAGAAGCAGAAGAAGCAGCGCTGCTGGCCGTGGGCAACGTGGATAAAATGGCGCATGGCACACGCGGAAAGAAACACCGAGTGGCTTGGCAAGGTTACGAGAGGCTGACGCCTTCAGCAACAAGAAAAACAATATGGGAATAACAAGGGAGGATTAAAGCGATCGCAGTCAAAACATGCCGCCGATCAAAAAAGAGGAATGGATGTGCTCAACCACAAAACAAGTAAAGCAATAAAAAATAAGATAAAGCGTGGGGCAACCAGCACACACACTCTCATTATTCCCGTAAAGCAAAACACACACACAAGGAAACAGGGAGAGAGAGAGAGGTCGCCCACTCAATGCAATAAAAGCAAAACAGAAACAGTTACGGTGCTCCGCCCATGCAGCCAGGCAGGACGGCAGCGGTGCGTGTCGTGCAAAAGAGAGCACCAACGGGCCTGCATGGGTGTGCATGCATATATACAATGGGCACATCATGTGTGTGCCTCGTGGGGTGAGGTGACAGTGAGGTGTTAAAACACATTATTGAGGACAATCCTAGGTGTATCATCAATTACGCCTAGTTGTCGTGTGCCGTTAGGACTCATTCTTCTATTCATGGTCGAATAGGTTTTGGGTTCTTTCAAACCACTGTTACCCTAATATTACTGGAGGAAAATGGAAGGGGAAGCCTTCTTGTTATTATGCGGGCCGAGACACTTTTTGTGCGCAGCTTGTTTTTGGTTGCTTCCCCATTTCTCGGTCCACTATCGACATGTTGGTGACAACACTTCGCTGCAAGGAGCGGCGAATAAAGGCATCCCAAAATCACACGTCATGACGTGGGAGCTGCAACGGATATATTAGTTTTTTTACTCTCGCGGAATACAGGCAACTTTTGCCTACGTGGTGTCAGCAGAAAACCCTGCAGACGGCATATCGCGTGGTCGCGTGTTTACACTTCAGGACTTGGCGAAGGGGTGGAACTTGTGAAGGGAGCGGCGGGGTCTTGTGGTTGGAGGAGTCCAAAGTTTGCCACTCCGTGAGTTATAATATATCTAGTACTAACAAAGCACATCGTGTCATGACAGTGGCAGTCCGAATATATATTCTTGGAGCAGACACTAAAGAGGTGGCGAACCCACGGCCTCTCTATTTAACTTTTCTCTTCATCCGTCATTTTTGACTTCTTTAGATCATTTCAGGATCCGGCCAGCAGCCCAGTCCAATATTGCTTTGCATAAGCGGTTGTGGGTTGTTAGTTCTGCCGCTGGGACGTTTGGCATGCAGCAAACTGCGGTGGGCGTTTAATAGCTATTTGCCTCTATACGAGCACCTGTGGAGGGGTGTTTGTTCTCTGGTTGCCGGAGCTTTTAGTGCGTGCGAGACTTCGGCGGTTGCTTGTTTATTTTCCATTATTTATTTGTTTATATTATCGTGAGGCGCTGTTTTGCTCGATGGGGCGCAGTGTTAGGAAGGGGAACTGTTTGCGCAAACTGGCGTCACGCCGTGCGGTGCGCTTATTGGGAGAACAGCGGCTCTGTTGAATAAATGTTCAACTTGACGGCAAAATACTTTTGTCGGGGTGCCGGTGGTAGGAAAAGACATGCTTAGCCCAACACCTGAAAAAGAGTGGCACCATTATTTTGAGTAGAATCCGCTTTTGCCTCAGAATTTATGACCATGAGGGCGCAATTTCCTCCTCGACAAATGTGGAAATGAAAAGCGACGTTGTTGAACACAACAATAGTCCTTTAATTGTGTAGCTCCTTGTTGCATTGTTTCTCGGCAGCGGGGGATCATCGTTCCACCGTGCTAGCTCGGTGGTATGGCGTATCGTGTGCGT